TCCCTGTGCAGAACAGTCCTGCCAGCCATGGAAACCCCCCTTGCTGATACCCAAGTGTCCCCTGGGTGTGAAGGACCCCAAAGTGTCACTCTGGGTGGGGCTGAAGGCTCAGGGTTGCTGCTGCCCTAAAGCTTCAAACCACAGCTCACTCCAGCACAGGTCCTGCTGAAGCTGCTGGTCAACTCCAATATCTTTCCTCCTGCAGGGAAAAAACCCACTCCTTATGTTTTGCAGCAGCAGCAATGGGGTTGAATCCCATTTCTCTTCCAATTTTTTTGGGGAAGCGGAGCCAAGCCATCAACCTGTGCTGAGATGAACCTGTTGGCAGCAGCAGCAGCAGCTGGGCTGGGTGTCTGCACAGCAATTGCTGCTCTGTGCCCTCGGTGGCAACAGTTTCTTTTCTTGCATGAAATTTCAAAGGGCTTTTAAATTGCAGGAGAAAAAGGTTTTGGTGGCCTGGAGAATCCCGTGACCGTTTTGGAGCAGGGAAGGAGCCTTTACCACCCCTGCTGCAGCAGGGAGAGGTCCCCACAGGTGAGGTGAGTTATCTTATGGCTCATATTTTCCAGCCCCAGCCAGGGGGATGGAGCTGCTCAGCCTTCCACGGTTCAGCAGGCAGCAGGTATTGATTGCAGTGAGGTCAAAGCCAAGTGTGAGACAGCCCCAAGCAGTCGGGGTCAGAAGCAATATAGCCAAAAACTTCAGGGCAGAAACTTAGATTTTTAATTCTTTCTCCATTTTAGAGATTTTTTTATTATTATTATTATTATTTTTCATTTCAAACTGAAGATGGTGAGAGTAAATTAAAGAACCAATGGGCTTCCTTCAGCCATGTCCTGACAGCTGTCAGTCACCAAACAGCACCATCAGGACATGAAAGCCTGATAAGCACAGAAAAGATGCTTCCCTGGCAGGAAATGCCCCAGCACCCCGGAGCATGAACTCAGGCAGCTAAAAAAAGGTAAGTACACTCCCCAAAAAGGCAGAGGAGAGGCATCCCTGCTTTCCAAACCGGAGACACACTCAATCCCTTCCCATCCCAACGCTTTTGTCCACGGGAGCCGAACGGTCGTGTTGAGGAACGCGCCGAGCGTTCGTGCAACACAAGCACATTGGGGTCTCTGGGTGATTTGGAAGTTATGCCTGAAAGAAAATTCATATTTAATTCATCATCTTAGTAACATTTATGAACACGGAGGTTGTCTGTGTGCCCCTGCCGTGTCGTTATTCCCGTGCTGGTGGGATGATTTGGGGGAGCCTCGGGGAGGCCACGGTGGCACTTTGCCAGGGTTGGAGTAGGGCAGATGGGGGGGCCTACCACGGCAAAAGTACTGGGGGCACTAAAAACCCGACCCTAAAAGCAGAAATGTGAAAATTCTTCCCGTTTTGCGCTGTAAATAAACCCAAAAAAGGGCTTTTTCCTTCCCTTAAACTGTGTGACTAAAATCAGTCAAGAGGTTGATGGTGCGGGGGGGTATTTTGGGGAGAATGGAAAGCCATGCTGCAAGAGGGACATGATTAAGGAGGCAATTTCAGCATTTTCCCCAAAATCCTATTAATTGGAGAAAGAGCCCCATGTGCTCTCACCCCCACCAAGATGTTTCAAGCTCCATCCTCATCCTTCACCACCCCTGGCAGTGGGGAACGACCGGCTGGATGAACTCAAGCTGGGCTCTCCCTGTATTTATTTATTCTGGACCATTCTGCTCCTCTCCGCACAGGGGCTTTCCAGACAGTTCCTGTTTATTTTTGGGAAAGGAAAGACCACGTCAAAGAATTGGTATGAGCCGGAGCCGCTTTCCAACCAGCCCCAAATGGGGAATTTTTGCTGCTGTCCCCATCCCAAACCTTCAGCTCCCAGAGGATAACCTCTCATTAGCACATCCACCTCTGCCTAGCACCCTGATCCTTTATTTTTAAATTATTGTGCAGTGAGAGGGTGGGTTTGGCTTAAATCCCAACCTCTCACTTGCTGATGAGGGTGTTGGGAGCTTGGGATATGGGATAGCCAAGGAGCCCTGCTCCAGCCCAAACTGAGCAAATGGTCCCAGCTTTCCCCTGGCAGGGTGGGAGCACCGTCTGTGCCGTGTCCCGAGATGCCAGCTCTGTGCAGGCAAAAAATCAGGCTGAATCCCGGGCAGAGAAACCTCTCATGCCAAAAGGGCACATGTCAAAAGATACTGCAGGGGGCACGATTAGGACAGCCAGGCTGCTTTCAGGTCAGGTGGGAAAACATTCCTTTTCCCCTCTAAATGCCCTGCCTGGCATGTTAGAGGCGAGTGGGGATGCTCCTGCACTGCGATGCGGGTGCCCAGGCTCACCACCCTGAGGGCAGCCGCTCTGCCCTGCCCGAGGCCGGGCGGGGAGCAGTGCCAAAGCAGGGATGGAGGGAGCGCCAGTGCCTGCAGGGGAAACTCCTCTCCTTGATTTAAGGTCCTTGAATGACGGCAATTCCTCACGCCTCACGCTGCGCTCTGCCGGCACTTAATTACCCTCGCTGGAAAAGCTGCCCTCAGATTTCCACCTTGACTTTGCTGACTTCAGCTTCCCCGCTGTCGGATCCTGCTTTGCCTTTGGCTGCTAATTAAAAAGCCCTTCAGCCTTTGCCGGCTGCTCCTTGCATAGGTAATTACGGACCGTGTCCCAGCCACCTCCTCACCTCCCCAGCAGCCCGGCGGACCAGCAGCATTCCTCCAAAATATGTTCAGCCTCTTCCCAATCCACCCCCCGGGTGAGCGGTATCGCTGTGCTGGGGGGCTGTGGGGTCACCCGCGGAAAAACCCAAGCTCTGCGTCTGCCAAACTCAAAAAGAGCCCGTGTCAGGCGGGATTTGTCCCGTCACAGGACAGCGGGGGACGCGTGTCCGTGCTGGCACAACCCCTCACCGCAGCGCGGTGCCGAAGGGGCTCGTGGCACAGGGAAAAGAAGCGGCCCCTTCTCTGTCGGAGAAGGAAAAAGGCGAGGTGAGCCTTCCAGGCTCCTCCTAGAGGAGCTCAGCTCCATTTAAACAGTTCTTTGGCTGAGGCAAACCCAGGGGATCTCCCCCTCGCCTTCCTGCCCACCCCTCAATCCCAAATCTCAGCGAGCTCTGGGGTTTTCTTTGGCATTTGGCTCTCTTTATTTTAAGTTTAAAACTGCCATGGGCCATGTGCCCTCTCTCCTCGCTCCCAGCAGCACAGCCAAGGCTGCTCAGACTTTCCAAACACGAGTGGGACATGGCCCAGACCTAAATTTGTCCTGGAAAAACTATGGTCAGCTGAAAGAACAGGCAGGAGGGGATGGGGGAGGGGGCAAACAAAAAGGGAAGAAAGGGGAAAAAAAAATTCCCCAAACCAGCTTGCCGTTGCAATAAGCCCCTGTGTGTGTCAGAGCTTGTGGGATTTTTTGCTTGAAAATGTATTTTGAGTGCTCCAGCTCTCCAGCACAGAGGGATGGTAATTAAGCAACACGAAAGCTCTGTCACACGTGCACTGAAAGAGCCGTTCTCAGCCCAGTGGCATCGCTGCCGGGTCCTCGGGCCCCTCAGAGGCCACACATGCCATGAGCCACATGGCCTGGGGACACTGCAGTGTCAGCCTTTTGGCTCTGCTGAGGACAGACACAGTTGTGACACCTCTCTCTATGACTCTGTCAGGGTTTGCCCTAGGGGGGTTGGTATTTTCCTGGGAAAAAAGAGCAATTGGTGGTTTTGCTTTTCTCTGCCTGCTCCATCATTTTTTCTGCTTTTTCTCCCAATGAGTTTCCAAGCCCCACTGAGCATCTCTGGCCAGTGTGAGGGGACCAAAGGCCACCTCAGACCTGCAGCTGCCACTCTCCAAGTTGCCTGTCCCCCTGTGCTGCTCCCTTGCCCTCAGGGGTTTACAGGGAGCTGATCCAACTGGCCGGCAAGTCTCCTCCTTCCCCCCCCCCCGGCTTTTTTTTCCTCTCCGCTGATGAAATCAGCACTTAATAAAATCACATCAGGCCCAGATGTTTTCTCCTCGGGTTAAGATCCAAGAAGGTGAAGTCAGTTAGAGTTCAGGTTTACACCGGGCACAACTGGAGCTTGCCTGGGCGTGATCCCTGGGCAGTGAGCAGGCTGGAAACACAACCCACGGCATCCGAGCACCCCCTGCACCCCAGCTTCTCACACATCAAAATCTGGGCCCCCCCAGGAGTGCACAGCTGGCTGCACAGCTGGCCCTGGCCTTAGTCAGGTGACACTGTGGGGGTCTCTGAGCCCCATCCCTGCCAGGGGAGCCCACAGAACCGGCAGCCAGCGGCGCCAGCTTAACCTTCTGGGGCCCCTCCTAATTAGGAGGTGTCTAATGAAGATCATCAGCTGCCCACACTGGACTGAGAGTGGCCACAGCATGCGAGCAGGTGTTTGCTGTGGCGTGGGGGTTGACTCATGTTCTTCTTTTGAGGCTAAATAGCATGACCTAGGAATCATAACAATCAGGAAAAACACTGTTGTTTTTTTTTTCAGTGGGATGAGCTGAGGAATAAACTCAGCTTAATTTGGGCTCAGCCCAGGTATGTTGTCTACGTAGAATAAGCAGCACTTTGCTGGTGAGGCAGCGCTTAAAGTGATTTGGCATCACCATCCTGATCCAGGTCCTGAAATCCCAAGTGTTGGGATGAGACAGGCTCACAAACAAGAGCAGGGCAGGCTCACAAACAAGAGCAGGGCAGGCTCACAAACAAGAGGCTGCACGTGGAGAAAAGTAAGAAGAGGGGCGCGATCATCGCCCCCAAATCCACGAAGACCTGGCTGAGCCCCTGCAGGACATGGCACGGAGTTTTTGCATGTTTTTATTAATAAAACAGCTGACAGTGAAGAACCGACCCAGAAAACCAGCTGGCCGGGGCCCTCGGGCTGCTCCTCGCCGCTGCCTCTGTCGGAAGCCAACCCTCGGTGGTGCTGAGCCCGCGGGGCTGTGCCTGAGGCTGTGCCTTGGCTCTGCCGGGACACCTGAGC